AAAAGAGGGCATAGGGGGGTGGTGGCGGGGGGGGAGCGGAGGAAGGCATTGGCGGTGGCGGAGGAGGCGGGGGAGGTGGTGGTGCGACAGCGCTTGTAGGTGGAGGGGGAACTGCTCGAGTATTCGGAGGTGGCAGGGGTGGTGCATTATTGCGCGCTGGCGGAGGAGGTGGTGGAGGCTGAGGAACAAACAACGCAGAATGTGATGGTGTTTGTCCTGCTTTGGGCGGTAAAGGCGGTGGGGGACCAGCATAAGCAGCGGATGTCTCACGACTAGGCGGTGGAGGAGGAACAGGTCCACGACTCGGTGGCGGCGGAGGCGCAGAAGACTTGCGTTCCCCAGTGAAAGGTGGCGGTACTCTAAACAAGCCACCCTGGGGTTGTTCCTCCTCAATCGGAGTTTTGGGCGGACGAGGCGGAGGTGGAGGACCTGGATTTGCCAAGGAGCCTGAGGAAGCTCGAGTTCGGCCAGACGGGTGAAGTGCTGGACCTTCTTTGACAGCAAACTTGCCAGCATCTGCAATAGGCGGAGGGGCGCGGAATCTAGGCTGTGGACTTGCCGTGGGAGGAGGAGAGGGGTCCCTTGCTGGTGGAGGAGAGATTGAACGAGGAGGCGAAGGCGCTCGGCCACCCACAGGTCTTCTTGACGGAGGAGGGGCCGGAGGGGGTCCTCTCCTGCCTGAGGAAGAACTGCCAGTATTCTCCGGGCTAATCCTCGATGGAGGGGCTGAGGGAGGCGGAGGAGGTGGAGGAGCCCTTGATCTGGTCTCGGTAGCTGTGACCGATGGTATATGAGAACCAAATCCATTGGCCGCACCTTCTGCCTGCTTCTCTTGCACATAACGCTTGATGAAGTCGACGTTTTCGGATATTTGATCTTCGGTAATGCCCATTTGCAATAGCTCGTCCAGGATGGGCCTCAAGTTTGGATCATTAAGATCAATTGTGTCTGAGTTTCCTTGTGGGTAGCTTGTTGGGGCGTATCCAGGGCTGTAGATAGGCTGCGGGATCATTGGTTGAGGTTGTTGGGACGCAGAGCTGTGGCGGTGACCACGGAACAGGTTGCCAACTCGACTGTGATGTTTGTGAGAGCTTCCAGGTACGTGTAATTGGCCTCCTCCAGCGGTAGATGCGAAAGGCTGAGCCTTTGTATGTTTGCTGGCATTTTTCTCACGCTCGTCCATCTTTTTCTTGAATTGTCGAGCCTCTTTCTCGTCGACAAAGGATAAGCCGGCGAGACATTGTTCGAGCTCAAAGGAATGGAAGAATGTGCGATCCTGGTTATATTGAAAGGTGTCGTATATTTCTTGATCCCATATCACGCCTCGGTTCGCAGGAGATATATCGACGAGCTTGATCCAGAAGGTGTTTCCCACCAGATCGTTGGAGAGGACCGCGGCGCCTTGAAGACCAGTATAGGTCCATCGGTTGCGGTTGGGGTGAGCAACATAGAGACGAGCGACAGCAACGGCTTGGATCTTGTTGGAAGCCTTGGGCACAGTCCGCTTCACCGTCTCCTTGTCAGCATCGGAGAGGACGGACGGCATGTCGAGCGAGTGACGGTACTCGCGGTCCGTGAAGGGGGAGATAAAGACTCGAAAACAGAAACGACTTGCTTTGCGGAGTAAATTTCAAGTCAAACAGGAAATAAAACAAGACGAGTAGAGAATAACAGGCTGGTATGAAAGTATAGAAAGATGATTGATGAACCGAGCAGGCAATGCTCCAAGCGCTTTTCTGTGTCAAAGCGGAGACAAGAGAAAGGCTGAGCCGCGTGGCATTTCGGTTCGAATCAATCTTGTTTGGGGAGTCGTTGCGGGGGACACTTGCGATCACCAGTCACGCCCCAAAGACCAGAATTCGCAAAAAGGGCGGCCATCCCTGGAGTCACCTAGCCCTCCCTCTAGGGCCTCCCCTGTTTGCTCTCGGGGGCTTCTTGCTCAGCCCGAAGCCCTGCAATTGGTTGAGCTGGGCGGCCTTCCGTCACTGATGCTTCATCTGCAAACACCCCACACCTCAGACGTCATCGCAATGTTGTGCAACCGTCCGCAGACTGCAGGCGCAGGAGCCTGGGAATGTCATGGTCACGCAACCACTTGATATCATCACTATATAAACTTGTTGGACCCTCGCTTCTCTCCTCGTCCTTCGACCAGACTTTACAAAAAAAAAACCCTTCATCGCAAACAAACTTGTCAAAATGCCTGTCATGCCAAGCGAAGAAAACACCGAGTCCCATATCTTTGACAAGGTCGCCAAAGAGTCCAGCGATTCCACAGCATCCGACCACCCAATTCACAAGGGAGAGCAAAAGGCACAAGCCCATCATCATCAAAGCAAGGGACCTCAGATCTCCGACAGTGAGTTTGTTCTGTGCTCTTTGGCAGTGGGATGATCAAGAAAGCTGACTTGGGTCTGTTAGGTATCCCTGCGGAGACGAAGAGCAAGGAGGAATTGAAGGCTCAGGCACAGGAGATGAACAAATAGATCCGATATGGATAACCAAAGAGATACACAATGAAGCGCCGCTACTGCGAGCTGCTACCGTAACAGTGAAAACAAACGACGGATGGAAAGGAAAGGGCTACATCCAGGGTCATTGAAAAGAACACAATAAATCGTCGACACGAGAATTGCATTGTTTCCTTGGTGATTGGGCCAAATTGTTTCCCTGTGTCTCTGTAATCCTTGAAACCCACCCGTCATATCAGGTTCATCCTATAAATTGAACGTTCCATGGCTGAATTTTCCATGGGCACTTTGTCACGACTTCCTCGCACGCTTGCCGAGTGGTTCACCGTCATCCCTTCGCTCCCAGCTTGTGGCCATCACTGGATTTCCCTCGCCGTCTTTGTTGGCCATGGCCTTCTCCGACACCTCTTTACCGGTCACCAGCTTGGTGGAATATTTTTTATCGGTCGGCGCTGTCTTGGGGACTGAACCGGGCAATGTGATTGAAAAGTGTACGAGCCGCCGACAAGCATTCTCAGGATCTGTCTTAGCAGTGTCTTGCGTTTCATTGGTAGATTTCGTCTCCTGTGCTCGGACAGGGTTGGTGGTCTCGGTCTGGCTGATTTCTGCGCCGTTAATTGTAGCCTTGTCTTCAACGCTGGCCTTGCTGGCCTCGCTGGTTGCCGCTGATGATCCTTTCTCGCCTTTTGCATCTTTGCCTTCCTTGTCATCAACTTCTGGTTGTTCACTGTAATTCCAAAGCTCCTTCAGATCCCCTTTCACCAGGGCAGTACCCCAGAACGAGAGGAGGACCCCAGGAACAAGATAGAGTAGCGCGGGCTGCGCATGTTGTGCAACCTGCATCACGACCACGGTCACAATCATTCCAGCGAGGTATCCCAATATAGTGGCGCGAAGATAGGGTTTGGGGAACCGTTTGGCCTTCATCTCTTTGGACCATAGTCTTGATGAGGTCCAAAACCGTTCTCCCCACCATCCTGTCGCGCTGATATATGTTGGCTTCAATGCATCTCCTTCCAGTTGCTGTCCTTTCTTCGATTGCCGCAGATAGTACAAGAACAAGTCGAATCTCAAAGCAAAAGCCAGCATCATCCCCGGCACGACAATATCCCCCAACCCCAGCATCGCCATAGTTCGTTTCTTCGCTAGGCATTGCAGGTACTCTTCCATCGCCGCCGATCCTTCAGGCGCACCCACAGGAAACACGCAGCCATCGGGTCGAGGGAAGAGCAGTTTGATGGGTACGTCCAGTTTCGTCGCCACTGTGACCATCATGGGGGTGAAGAACACAAAATATATATCATAGAAGAAGAGTGCGCTCAGCAAGAGGGTGCCTGTCCAGGCGGTCGTGGGCGTCATGAATTGCAAGGAGCCGTAGCAGAAGGAGAAACCGAGGAAATTGGTCAAGAACCACGGCTTCGACACGAATGTGTGAACATAGACGATGCTGCCGGAGAGTACGAGGCTTAAGACGTCAAGAATTTCGATCCACGTCTTGATGGTGATCAATTCGTGAAGGTGGAATTCGAGCCGAGCCTTCGTGTACAGTATCGCGCGTAGATCCCAGATAGAGCGGACAAGGTATGGGGGAAGAGGAATTTGTCCTGCGAGACCCGGAAATGGTGAGCTGTTACGCGTCCCGTTGTCCGCCCTGAAGCATCGCTGCTGCTGGTCCACCTTCCACAACATTCCTGAACGAGAATATTCATTTGGAAGTATAAAAGACCGCACCACAGAGAAGCCGTCTTTCAGAAACTTCATCGCGAAGAACAAGCCGATCTGCGAGAAGTAGATGCCCAGGACCCAATTGAGCCAGGCGGGATCTTGGAGCCACTTGAGAATAAAGTAGAGCGATGCCAGTGTGATACCGGCCAAGACAGGGAATAATATCGCGTCAGAAGGAGTCAGGCTCTCAATTCTTGTTGGGGAGTCCTCGTCATCACCTTCTTCGGCGTCTCCGTCGGCGTGTTTCTTCGATTTCTTGGGTGCAGCTGACGGCGGCCTTGACAACGAGGCATGAGCGGCTGTGTAGATGGGGAAAATGGCCGAGACAAGCAGATGTATATAGGTCGGCAGAAGAGGTCGCATACTCTCATAATGATAGGCGACCTGGCCTAGAAGCTCCATAAGCGGTCCGGGCTCTGAAGCCATCTTTGCAGATTGCGCGCCCCTGAGGGAGAAGGACAGACCGAGACCAGCATATGATGACAAATCTGATTGGGGGAGAGTGTGCACAGGCTATATTCAGAGGCTTCAGGGGGATACAGGGACAGAATGATGCCCTTGCGTATAACTTAAAAGAGACACGAACAGACTCAATTTCACTTTCAAGGCTGAAGTCTGTCACCGTGATTGATGGCTGAGGCCAGGCTGGCCTTGGCGGCCTTGGATGTTCGCAAGGCTGAGTCCATACAAGCGCAAGGCTGAACTTATCCAGATTGATTGGCCAGTTACACGTCGCGTCCATCCGGCTCAAGTTGCCATTTGTCTGTATGGCTATCTTCGTGGCTTATAGTATATAAGTAACCGGAAGGATCTCTCCTGTATTTTCTTCACTGCTCTCTCCGCCCAATCGACCTCGCGCCTGTACTGAGGGAATGGCAACAATGTCTCTATCGCCATCCTCAATGGAGCTGCAACACATTTCGGCCCTTGATCGAGCATGTCATCTTGCAGGCTGTATTCGACAGACTGAAGTATATTGCGACAGGGTGCGGCGAAGTCTGCCCGATGTTCTAGTGGTGGGAAGTGGAAGATACTGCCAACATCATCGGTCGAAGATCCGGTAGCCCCGTCCACATTCCCTCGTGCGAAAGCGGCCCCTTCTGCAAATGCCGTCTGCAATTCGACAATCAGTCCATAGAGGTTCCACAGACCTTGCCACAAGATAGCCTGGACCCCCCAACTAATGATGACCGTGTTGGCGATGGAGAGATTGGGAAAGTGGAACGCCACCGGAAATAACATGCCATCCTTCGAGCCAACGTCAAGACTTTTGTCTTTTGCCAGTTCCGGCCAATATAGTGGCCCGTCATGGCTCTTTTCCAAAGAGTCATAAACAGACTGTAACTCGGCGTCCAGCTTCCAGCATTTCCATATCATCTTCGTCGCAAGCTGCAACTTGCCATCAAAATCCATGTGCTCGAGCATCTCGCCCTGTCTGAGCAGCTCTGGTGCAAATGTGAGGAAGTCGTAAATTCGGTCATAGGGTGTTTTCGGTTTGACTTGCCAGGGTATCTCCAGCCACGGCGGCTCCCCCAAGAAGGAAGGCTGGCACAGGTCCAGAGAATAGAGAATCTGTATTTGATCAGCCGCTCGCCGCCTAGTTGTTGTCACAGACAGACGACTCACACCCTGGATCCTGAAATGTACGAAGATGGAATGGCCCAGCCCATCCGTATGCGCCTCTGCACCACGAAGTTGGATCAGTTTTTGGCAGCCCAGCGTATGACTGATGTATCCATGTTTTGACTGATTCGGACATTGACTCATCTCATACATGCCTAAAGCCACACAGGCAGCAAGCGTCTGGTCATGAAGCATCAAGTCTCGATCCCACAGCGCTATTTGGACCTCGCGCAGAGCCTCGCGGTAGAGCTTCAAGCTCTCGTGAACAAGCCCTTCATCACGATAGACTTCGCCAAGCTTAGCGACAGCCAATGCCATCATTGAAATTTCTAACGCTGAAGTGAGATCAGGAAGTCTAGGGACCTGTATCAGCCACACTCTCTGCTGCATTGGACCAAGCCTGTCTTTTGACAAGTGATTTTCCAGGTACAAGCTCAACAGGCGCTGTCGAAGAGTCGGGTTGGTGTTGACTTGGGCTCCCAAGCGAATGAGGCTTTGAACTGGATCGAGGCCAAGACCACCAGATGAAGAAGATCCCATCACTCCATTGAAATCTACAGGATCTGGCTGACTGTCGTGGGGACGTATTGTCGAACCAATGGTAGATTCAACATACTCCTGATGCTTGGGGTCATCGCCCTTGGGCGGCTGATGAGCAATGAAGATGGGGTATTTTCGGTATCCGGTGCATATTCTGTTCGATTTAATGCACTGAGCACAGGAAGGTCTTTCTAGTCCACACTATTAGTGATGATGATTAGCGACACTCTGTTCATCTGTACTAGAAAGCGACAGGGATTACCGCGATCTTCCGCTTCCTGCAGGTGCCACAGCCACGACTTCTTGCGATCCCAACCATATAGCTTCCGCCAAGGATAAAGCTGGACTATAAAAGTGCCTTTGAGTGTCTCAACGTAGTGGTAACAGAGGAGAAGATACAGCAGGTTTTGAAATCGTCAAGTGTTCAGTAGATGCGTTTGCGGGCATCTTGCGTAGACGAAGGGTTCAAAGCCAAGCAGCCTGCAGTGGCGGATAATTGTGAGTCCAATCCTTCTGCACAAATGAAACGTGTCCTATTTCGCCCTGATGTTGGCATCGAAGGTCGAGTTAGCAGGTTGTCTGATGAGAGGTTGTCTGACGAGGAAAACGCCTGGTTCGCCTTGGTGGGTGTTGTGGCTTTCCACTAAACCGATAATAGATGATTGTGCGAGCCAATCGGCACCTGGTGAGGGCCCCTGTCACGTGGTTGCGGGCAGAAAGAGTAGCAGGAGGGCGCAAACTCCACCGTACTCGTAGCCTTCACGTGACTACGCACTTTAGTACTGTGGACTATTAAATCACCAAGTGCTATCCCAATACCGCGCCTGACGCGTCGACTTCTCCTGAAATCTTCACGGCAGCGGCACCACTGTAATGTGTGTCTCAGGCTGCGGGGACCTTCTCTCTATTTGCCATAAGTACACTTCCGGAGCAATATGCCACGAGCTCCACTGAGACGAGCTGCAAGTATTACAGATCTTCGCTTTACGCTGAGACGCGTCTTCGGCAAGGCCGCATTCCGACCACTCCAGGAAGAGGTCATCACCGCCGTCGTTGCTGGACATGATGTATTCCTCTGCGCTGCTACATCATTCGGGAAGTCACTATGTTATCAGCTGCCAGCTGTTGTCTCCTTTGGGGTTACTGTTGTCATTTCCCCCCTCTTAGCCTTGATGGATAACCAGGTCCAAGCCGCCAAGTCCTTGGGCATCGCCGTCGAACGTATCAATGGCAAGACTGAATGGTCCGAAAAAATGCGAATTGAGACTGATCTTCTTTGCGGGCATCCGGAAACCAAACTTCTCTACGTCACTCCAGAGCTTTGTGCACAGGACCGCTTCCGGAAACTCATCATGAAAATCCACCGCCAGGGTCAATTGGTGCGAATTGCGGTGGACGAGGCACATTGTATCAGTGAATGGGGCCACGATTTTCGTCCGTGCTACAAAGAGCTGGTATGGCTGAAGACCAACCTCACCTGTCCTACCGTGCCGCTGATAGCAGTGACTGCGACCGCGACGAAACAAGTTCGAGAGGACATTTTCAGATATCTTGGCCTTGATGTTGATAAGACCAGATGCTTTTCCACCTCTACTGCGCGACCAAACATCCATTATGAGATTCAATACTTTTCAGAGTCGAACCCAGAGAACGGAGAGGATGACATATTCCCATACCTTCTATCAAAACTGAATTTTATGTACCAGAGGCGGCTAATGCAGCTCAGACATCGGAAAGAGCAATTTTCAACAGCTGCTGTGCCCCCAATCACAGGCATCATCTATGTCCCACTTCGTGCTACAGCAGACTCGCTTGCCTCAAGACTGACTGCGGCGGAGATCCGAGCGAGCGCTTACCATGCCGGTCTAGACACGGAAACACGAGAGAAAGTACAGAGAACATTTTTGAGACGTGCCATTCCGGACCAGCTTTCGGCACAAGCTGATGACAACCAAAGTATGACGAGCTCGTTTAACATCATCTGTGCGACAACGGCTTTTGGCATGGGTATCGACGTCCCCACTATCCGGTTTGTGATCCACTACGGTCTCCCACGGGGCATGGAGTCGTTCACGCAAGAGTCAGGACGTGCTGGCAGGGACAACAGAGCAGCATCAAGCATAATCCTATACACTCGAGAAGACAAGGAGCGGTGCGAGTATCGAGCCAAATGTGAGGCAGCCAAGGACAAAAGCCCGGCCAAGACGGAGTCGAGGTTCGAATCGCTGCGCAGCATTGTTGAATTCTGCGAGAACACCAACTGCTGCCGCCATTTGCTAGTCTCCCGATATTTTGGGGACAGGAATGGCTCCGCAGAATGTCACTTTGCGTGTGACGTGTGCAAGGAGGGGCCGATCAAGTTGAAGAAACGCAAGGAAAGGGGCCTGGCCACGGAAGCAGAAGCGATGGAATTCACACAAAGGGAACCAATTCTGGATTATGAGTCCGAATAACGAGACCCACGGCTGCTGATGAATCTTTGATACCCATGGGATACGATGCAAGAGGCGTCAAGGCAGGCACGGTACGACAATCATGAACGGAGATTCTGCCCTCGTTAATGGTCAGGTGTTTGGCGCAACTGAAGTCATTTTATTCAGTGCTCCCGGCATCGGAAAGTACATCGGTATACACACGCTCCAAAAGCTGTCGAGAACATGTCGTTGTCCAGCATCAACCAGCCCTCGCTAGATGTCAAATCTTGAGGTTGTAATAGCCTCCCCCAAACTCTACCAGCCAGGCCTTCTCTACCTTTGAGATGTCCTTGATATATACTTTCTCCCGGGTCTCCAACAACTCGTGGAACACCACGTACTCTGCTTTGCGGTTGAACAGGAGGGAGGTTGGGTGCGCGTGCATGGTGACGTTTCCAGAAACGGATCTGAATGTCCCATCCGGCTGCATTTTGGCTGCCTGTGAGAAGAAGCCCGTCACCAGACACTTCAAGATATTGGCGGCCTTGTCCTTTGGCTGAGCACTAACGGATGTGGCTGCGGACTTTGAGTCCTCCACTTTGACGCCGAGCCGCTCAAGGTATCGCCTCAGCTGGTTCCTAATGCTCACTGCTCTTTCCATCGACTTGAAATTCAGATGATGCTCGTGGCACCACCTCGCCTCCCTCTTTCCCTTAGTCACAAATGCCTGATATACATTCAGCAGCGTGAGTTGATCGCCTTCTTCGGCAGCGAATTTTCGCCGCGACAGGTCCATTGCCTTTTTCTCTCCACTGTGATGAAACCAGACATTTCCTTGTAATGAGGTCATCGCTGCGAGGGTGAGCATCTCGTTCTGACAGTCAAATTGTGGAGACGAGGAAGCGAGCAGGCATTTGGCCATCATGGGCGGAATGGCGCTCAGCTCGGCCATGCGTGTTCCTAATGGCGAAGTGAGCTTTGCATAGTCGTCTACGGCCCCCAGGGAGTAGAGCAGATCAAATGCGCGGATAAGCAGTTGCGAGGGCGGTGGTGAGAGAAAGTCAAAACGCACAACGTTGTCGATGCCAAGTGCTTTCAGCTGGAGGACCACGGGGGCCAGGTTTGACCGTTGAATCTCTGGAGTAGTCGTTGCCGGGAGCGATGAATAAGATTGCTGGGTATAGAGGCGGAAGCATTTTCCTGGTCGGGTACGTCCTGCGCGGCCGGCTCGCTGGGTTGCAGATGCTTTCGATGTGGGAAACGGGGTCAATGTCTCAATGTTTGTGTTCGGGTTGAACGCACGCAGTTTTACAAAACCACAATCAACCACGTATACGATACCCGAGATGGTGACGGATGCTTCTGCGATATTCGTCGCCAGGATGACTTTCCGGGTGTTCTCCGCCGCCTCGGAGAAGACGTACATTTGCTCTTCTGTACTGAGACCAGCATAGAGCGGGAGAGGCTGAAGAGCCTGTGCCTGTGGAGGTAGAGTTGATGCCAGGTCCACGAGCGTTTGCACAGCTCTTTCGATTTCTTCTCTGCCCGTCAAAAACACGAGAATATCGCCAGGCGCCTCCTGTTGATGGATTGTAAAGGCTGTCTGTATGGCTTTCTCCAGATAGTCATCTGTCGGTTGATCAAGATAAAGGATATCCACGGGATATGTCCGACCTTCGATGCTGACTATCCGACACTGTTGCTCACCCTCAGGAGCATCGTGGTCGGTAAAGAACTCTGCAAATCGCTCTGCTTCAAGAGTGGCACTGCTGACGACGATCCTCAGTTCCGGTCGTCGCTTCTTCACTTTTTTCAGTAGACCAAGCAGAATGTCGGAGCTGAGTGACCTCTCATGAGCTTCGTCGATCATGATAACGGAGTATCTCGTGAACAACGGATCAACCAAAGCTTCTCGCAATAGCATGCCGTCGGTGAGAAATTTGATTCTGGTTTTGGCGGAGGTGACATCTTCGAAGCGGATCGAGTAGCCCACCTGTTCACCCAACTGACATCTCATCTCTTCGGCGACACGTGCGGCCACGGTGGTGACGGCGACTCTTCTGGGCTACAGATAATGGTCAATGGATTCTGGACCAACCGAGAAATTCAAGTGACCAACCTGCGTGACTGCTATGCATTGTCCCTTGGAGCACCATCCTGCCTTTTCCAGATACTGAGGTAGTTGAGTTGTCTTCCCACTGCCTGTTTGGCCCACTAGCACCGTGACTTGGTGCGTTTCAATGGTATAGAGTAGACTGCTTCTGTGCCTGGCGATGGGTAGTAGTGATGGCGGGGTGTACAATGCTGGTATGAAGGATGAATCAAGATCTGACATGGTGCTGGCAGGCTTAGGAGATCAAGCCCAGTTGCAGCTATCCGAAAAGTCATCTCCACGTCAAATGAGCCGCTTTCGACTGGGATGTGGATTGGCGACGAAACGCAGACTGACATCGATAAATGATATTCGCACCGCCACAGAAGGACGACGCAGACAATGCGACTAACGCCACAACAACGTCATTACAGCCACTGCCAAGTCGCCGGCAAAAAGCAGCGTAAGGCAGGATCATTTCCGGCCCCACGCCATCTGCTTCTCTGGAGACATGTGTTGTCTCAAGTCTCGATTTACTGAGTTGCCTGAGTTAATACAATTGATCTTTGTTCCATGAGAAGCGCATGCATCAAGAGTCACGACTGAAGAAGAAACCGTTCAACCATCGACATGATAAGCAACGATCCCGTGAGAGATATCCCTGATCTCCTAATATATGGCCTCTAATTGACACTGCGCAGCCGTCGCCCGTCTCACCACTGAAACCATCCGATGGACCCCCAGAATCTCCCACTACTGCTCGACCCCTGGATTTCGATAGCGATCAAGAGACAGGCACCATCGAGACGGCTACAGCGCCCAAGACAGAGTTGCCTTCGCAGCCTAAAGTTCCCCCCAAAGACGATGTCTCTGCACCACCAAAACCTCCCCGACCCATGTCTCCGCGGGAACAGGCAGAGCTCACTCTGAAAGAAGCTTTTCCTACCATTGAGATCAGCGTCATCCGCGCAATTCTCACTGCAAGCAGAGGAGAGATTGAACCTGCATTTAATGCCCTCCTTGGGATGACGGACCCAGAATCTCAGCGAGAACCAGAGCCTTTACCCCCAGCTAAACCTCCTCGTCCCGCTCGTCAGCAATCTCCTACATCTACAAAGCTTAGCCAACTTGAAGCAGATGAGCTCTACGCGAGACAGCTGGCTCAAGAATTCAATAGTGGCGCTGGTGTTGACAGACAGCCGAGGCGTCGTGAATCCGGGGGAAGATACAACGAAAACTTACCAGGATCAAGAGTAGGTCGGCCAGGGGCCAGCCCCAACCCTGATGATGTGCCGTGGCGGAGCTTCATTGATGGTAAGTCTGTGCTCATTCACAATATCTACACATGCTCAGAATTTTGGCAACAGACGATCTTCCCGAGATTCGTGATAATATCCGGAAAGGTTTTGTGGAAACGCAGAAAACCGTGAACAGCTGGATCAGTGCTTTCAAGAAGAAGATCGACGGTGAAGACGACGATGCAGAGTTTACTCAGGCTCAGCCACCTCTTCCTGCCCGACCATCAGCACAATCGCCCTTCACAGGCCGCCGAAGTGCCGAAATGCGTCGTAGTGCAGACCTCCAACGCTACGACGCTGATATGCAGCCCATTGGCGACGACTTTTCCAAACTAGAGCTCCGCGATGGCGATGCTCCGCCGCGCACATCGAGTCGGCCATTGGCTAATCCGAATCTCTTCCGTTCCGGAGGAGTTCAAGGACCAGATCGTCGACCGTCGCCAGGCACGAATCGAAAGGTTTCCTTCCAAGATGGCCCGCCGGAGGAGATTAGGGACATGTACAGCGCCTCTCCCAAGCCTGCAGCGGGGTCGACGACAAAATCGAGCAAATGGCAGCCTCTACAAAGTATCGATCCGAGTCCTGTGGCGGAAAACGACCCATTTAGCCTAGGTGACAGTGACGAAGAGAAGGATGCCAAAGTGATCACACTAAAGGATGATGAGCCAGATATCAAGAAGGATGACAAGAAAGCCGATGATGAAGAGGCGAAGGATAACAAGCCAACAGAAGCTGCAATCAAGGAGAGTGTTGGAGCGGACTCGAAGTGAACGGATGCTGGCTAGCGTCCGAGCGAGAGAACAAGGCTCAATGTGGCCAGGTGCTTGGAGACAGCAAAGTGAGAAGCATTTTCCAACGATGTCATGGCTAAATACCCTACCATGATGGGATGATAGATTTGACCCAAACCGGTCCAATTTGATCTTATCCAAATGCATTGGACTGATCTGCCCACGGACATTTTGAAAGAGAAGAAACGTCATCAACCAGACTACCTTGCCAAATGTCTAACATGCGACCGTCCTATTCTGACTTCTATGGATGGCATTCTCGGTGTGGGCACTTTTCCCACGCCCCTGCATAGCAACTCCACGCTGTGTCTCGTCTCTCATATTTTGACGTCGCCTGCTTTACCGGTGCTGCCCACGGCATCCATCATCCATTCAATCCTCTCCTGGATCAACTTGGTGCCCTCCTCCATGAACTCGGTCAGCGGCGTCCTGCCGGCTTTCTGCCGGGCGTACTCTTCGTACTTCCACAGCACGATCTGGTTCACGTTCAAGCGGGTCATGCCGGCGTCGACACACTGCTTGAAGATGTCAGCGGTGAACTCGTTGGTGCCGTGCATGACCAAGGTGACTTTGCCCCGCGAGGTTTCCCGGATGGATGCCAGGCGGGGGAAATCCAGCTTGATGTTTTCGACGCCGTTGTAAGGGCCGTGCACGTTGCCGATGGCAGGGGCCAGGAAGTCGATGCCCGTGTTGATGAACTGCATTGCCTCGTCCGGGGTGGTCAGGATGCCCTCGAGATCGCCCGTGTCCTGGACACCGGCCTCACCGCCGTTGATCCTGCCGGGCTCAGCCTCGGTGGCGATGCCCAGGTCGTGGCAGTATTTGACCAGCTCGGTGGTCCGGGCCAGGTTCTCCTCCTTTTCGTAGTGGGACATGTCGACCATGATGCTGTCGAACTTGCCCGTGTCGGCGGCGCGCTTGATGGCCTCCTCGCTCTGCGCGTGGTCCAGGTGCAGCGACATGGGCACCTTTGCGCTCCGGCACACATCGGCCGCCAGGTTCACCATGTTGTCGTACGCATACTCCTGCGCCCAGGGGAACAGCAGGATCTGGCACGGCGAGTTCTTAGCCTCGGCCGCCTTGCGGCACGCGATGATGGCCTCGAAGTTGTAGCACACCACGCCGGGCACGCCGTATCCCCCGGCCTCGGCGGCCTCGAGGATGCGCACCGAGATGTTTTGTGAGAGGTCCGGCATTCTGTGTGTGTTATGGTGTGTCGAAGGGAGGAGATGAGGGAGAGGTTGGACGACCGGGTGCAAATCGGCTTTCTGACTCTTGTCTGATGTTCAGCGCAGATGGCAGTTTTCAGTTGTTTCCAAGTATTTTTGTTCCTCTGCTGATTTTGGGATAATGAGATGTTCTTCCCTGCTCTTTTCTAGGCGCACTGTTGATCACTTGCGCCAAAGACCAAAATTCACGCTCTGGCACCGGCAGCAGAGTCGCCGAGTATTCTTCCACCTACTGTAGTAGAAAACACGGACGAATAAAGAAAACACAGCAAGGTCTTGTCTTTCCCCCCTTGAGATCGTACAAGAAACTAAGCACTCTCAAGGTTTTGTCCCCAAGTGCCGAAAAGAAAAAAAGAGAGATATGATAATGTCTTGCCCACGCCCTATTGTTTCAACGGTGCATGGTGGATGGACAAACAATGATGTCGTTTCACCGGCGTTTTCTCCGCATGCGGGGCCAAGGAAGGAAGAATACGAATCAGGCAACGAATTTGGTATGTAGAATTGCCAGAAATGGCGGGGTGGAGGGGGCGACGCATTTCGAATTATCATACGCGCACATATTACTACAAAATACGCATTTCTGTCATCGTATTATTTTTACCCTCCTTGTCAAACCAGCCCTAGAACTCTACTGAGTACTCCTCCTCCTCATACTTAGGCGTTTGTGCTGAGCAAAGAAAGACGGACGCTGACGTCCCTCACAATACGACGTCGACTTCACCTACAGTGGATGTCTCACTCGCATGTACTCGATCGGCCAACGTCGGCTTCAACTCCGATGTGAATATTCTAGCCACAATGCGGGTCCATATCGTGGCAATTGTCGGTCGACTGTATACCTTCTTGAAACCCCCCGAGACACCGATGCTGAGAAACATGGACGGAGGCTTGCGCCGATGATAGGCCGTAAGGATAGAGTCTCGGTATTTACATACCTACTAGGTATTCGGTGTTCAATGGACAATGCGTTCCGTGGGCACAGTACAGCAGAGTCAACATGTCTAAAGGGGCAAGATTTTCAAAGAGCTGGGGCAAGAGGGAAGATAGCGAGAGAGGAAAGAGTAGTTGTAGAGCTGGTGTCGATAGAGTAGAGGATTCACTGGGATCAACGGATACTTTTCAATCTGTCACAGCAGAAGATGCGCACATGTTCAACCACTCCCACATGACGACTATTGACACCTTGGAGAGAATCCTTTCCTCAGAGTATTTTGCTCCTTGATCCCTAGGATAACCGTTCTTGCTCCTCCATATACTCGACAAACTCCCGCACCGACTGCTCAAAACTGTCCGGCTTCTTCATCCCCAGCTTGTACGCCAACGAGTTGTCGTACTTGACAGCCCACGAATACAGGATCTTGGCAATGGGCTCGTCATGTTCCTCCTTGACGTACTGGAGTTTGTCCTCGCCGCCAACCTTGGCCAGGGCGTCGAGCATGTCTTGAATCGTGACCACATGTCCCGGGGCGTTGACCACGCGCTTGTGGCTCGGCAGCGCGTCCGAAGGCAGTGTGAGTGTGTAGACGAGGTTGTGAATCAACGTCTTGGGCGAGCACACGTGGCTGGGAAAGGCGCGATCTTTGACAGGCAACACGCACTCCTTGCCCGCTAAGGGTTCGCGAATGATGCCCGAGATAAAGGCCGAGGCTGCTGGTGCTGGCTTGCCCGGTCGTACGGTGACGGTGGGAAATCGGATGATAAAGGCGTCAATGTACCCCTTCCGAGTCATGTCGTTGATGAGGATCTCGCACATGAACTTGGCGGCGCCGTAGGAGCCCTCGGGAGTGGGGAGGACGTCTTCTGTGATCACCTCAGGCAGAGGGCGGCCGTAGACAGCTCCGCTGGATGAGTAGATGACTCTCAGTCCCGGGCGGACTTGTCGGATCGTCTCAAGGAGCAGTCTCGTACAATCCAGATTGACACTCATGCCCAGGTCGAAGTTTGCTTCCGAGCCCGCGGACATGACTCCATGGAAGATGTACGCCGCATCCAGATCCGGCGTGACCACGCTGCGGTCTTTCAGCAGGTCGGCTTTGACGCATGTCGCGTTTTGCGGGTACTTGGCCCCCTTGGGCACGGGCACGTCGATAATGTCTGTCAGGACGACCTTGTGCTCCGGGTTTTGGAGCAGTTCGCGCGCGAGGAATTGGCCCAGAAACCCGCCTGCTCCTGTGATGAGGATCTTCATCTTTGAACCAGCAACAAGTGTGTTCTGGATTGCGTGGGTCAAATCTAAACCGCGTGTCCTCTCCTCGTGGTTTTCTGGTTGTGCTTCTTTTTTTGGCCTGGCCTTTGGCGTACCAAATGGTATTCGAGAGCGGATGGATACTTCCGTTGTTTAACTTGTTCTCAATAGAGCCTGTCTAGATGAGAATGGTCTCTTCGAGTCACAGATATATATTCTTTTTTCTCTTTTCTCTTTACCAAGACAGTACAACGTTCTTTTACGACACAGTCACGGGGTTCCTGCCGTCAGAGTGGTCTTGTATCAGGTCCTTGATGTGTTGGAGAAAAGGAGATCGGGGGGCCGGTGTATTGCGCCGGTGGCTGAACAATGATGAGGGGCGACTTCCAGCGACTTAGAGCGACTTAGCGGGGGGTTGTCTGACCCTGAAGCGCAGAAATAATATGGGCTCAACGATGGTTCGGGTCATCTTGGGGCGAGCGATGATATACCGAGGAATAATGTCGAGCAGTATACCACGCGTTCAGTGGTGGAGGCAGATTCGCCCATAGAAGCCACACTGGTCGAGAGGGTCGACCAAGGCCAGACACAATACAACGCAATACAAAACGCCACTCATCTCATCTCACCTCGTTTCGTTTCATATCAAAAGAAATTCATTGCTTGTCCTTTTCACGTAAACTATTGGCATACTACACAAAAGCTAACCATTTGATATGCGCTCTTTGCGCATTCAAGGAAAACCGACCCTGTTCGTCCTGCATGTGGCTTGTGTACACTATTTCACCTCTCTTGATCACTTGGTGGCAGGACAAGGTCGAAGTTGAGGTTCATTTTATCCCTCGCTCAATCTGTTCAAGGCTGCATCCTAATCCAGTTGGTTGCCTTCTTTTCACTGCCCAACCATCAGACGGCTTACAACTTAGCCACAGGCTGTGATGATCCCACAGTAGTGATCTCGTTGTACAGGAGACTGCGAGCAAAAGCGTTAGTGATGAGATATACAACGGGTCAGAAAAAATGGGAAAGCATACCTCGTCAAGAAGTCGGCATAATCTTCACCAGTCACCTGGCTCTCGAAATATCGGGCCGCAAGCTGGTACTTGTTACCCTTGGGCGCCTTAGACGCCAATTCCTCTGCTTGCTCCCTCAGCAGTTTAAGGGCATAAGCCTTGTCGACAGTCTTGCCCTCAGCAGTCTTGACACCGTGCTTGACCCACTGCCACAATTGTGAACGCGAGACTTCAGCCGTGGCAGCGTCTTCCATGAGGTAGTTGATGGGCACACAGCCAACGCCACGAAGCCAGCCTTCCATGTAGCCGAGACCAATGCTGAGGTTCTTGCGGATGCCGTCCTCGGTCACAGTGCCAGGCATATTCATGTTGAGAAGGTCGTTCTTGGTGACGTAGACGTCTTCGCGACGCTTGAAGAGCTGATTAGGCGTGGGCATGTGCTTGTTGAACACATCAGAGGCAATGGATGCCAGAGCAGGGTGAGCGACCCAGGTTCCGTCGTGACCCGCCCGGACCTCACGAAGCTTGTCCTGTCGAACGTTCTCCATGGCCTTGTCGTTGGCCTCCGGGTTGTCCTTGATGGGGATCTGCGCCGCCATACCACCCATAGCGTGCACGCCACGACGATGGCAGGTCTTGATGAGCAGTCGCACATAGGCATCCATGAAAGGCACAGTCATCGTGACAGCAGATCGGTCTGGAAGGACAAAGTTCGGGTTCTGGCGGAATTTCTTGATGACTGAAAAGATGTAGTCCCATCGGCCGCAGTTGAGACCAGCCGAGTGGTCACGGAGCTCGTAGATGATCTCGTCCATTTCGAAAGCTGCAGTGATGGTCTCGATAAGGACGGTTCCGCGGATCGTGCCTCGTGGCATGCCAATATAGTCTTGGGATAGGTTAAAGACATCGTTCCACAATCTAGCCTCGAGATGAGACTCCATCTTGGGGAGGTAAAAGTATGGCCCAGTGCCCCGCTTGACCAGCTCAGAGCCATTGTGGAAGAAGTACAGGCCAAAGTCGAACAGCGAACCAGAGATTGGCTCGCCATCGACAGTGAAATGCTTCTCCTCCAGGTGCCAGCCCCGGGGTCTTGCTATTAAAGTCACGGAACGATCCGTCCTCAACTTGTATTCTTTCTCTCCTTGCTTGAAATCGATCTGTCGGCGGATCGCGTCGTAGAGGTTGACTTGGCCCGAGACCTGGTTATCCCAGGTGGGGGCTTGGGCGTCTGTTGCAGCGAAAATCAATTAGCTGCTGCGAATTGCAGTGGGGATCTGGCGGATCTCTCTTACCTTCAAAATCAGCCATGTAAGTCCACACGTTGCTGTTCAAAGCATTGACGACCATTTTCCGATCCGTTGGTCCGGTAATCTCGACCCGGCGGTCGATGAGGCCGGGAGCTGGAGGAGCACCTTTCCAGGCGTCATTGTCGCGAATGTGCTTGGTTTCAGGAAGAAAATCTGGCAAATTGCCCTTGTCGAGCTCCTGTTGACGGATCACTCGTCTTTGGAGCAGAGCTTTGCGGGTACCGTTGAAAGATCGATGGAGGAGAGCGAGGAAAGCAGTTGCCTCGGGAGTAAGGATCTTGCGGTACGAGTCCTTGACGACGCCATTGATGGCAACTCCTTCGTTGATGCTTTCGATGCTGGCCATTTTGGATGAGGAACAGGAACTGAACTAGGAGAGTAGAAATCTAGAGGAGTAGCTGGGTTATTCAGAGACGAGCCCCGGGGCAAGGGGGGAAGGGAGCTGAGGTGGTTGATATAATACTATACGTCAGAGCAACGCAATGCCCAAAATCGTTAGAGGCAACATTGTCGACGACTTGTCCGGAGGAGATGTGCCCGTTGACAGGTCCCTCGCCCTACAGCCCAATCATTGGGGTTCCAGTGGGTTCCGCTCGACCACCCAACTCCCAAGAATGAGGCCAGAGGAGCCCGTGGAGCCGGGGCATGCGGATAAGATCAGCTTTGAGGATCAGTCGACGACAAAATCAATTTGCCATGTGTGGGGTAAAAGCGTCACCCTTGGTATGTGCTCTGTTTTTTCCCTTTGCTCCGGCCGTCTATCTGTCCGTTGCGCATGGCCTGAAGATCCTTTTTTGATATTCTACCCTCATGCTATTGACAACGACAACATGCCCATTACTCGGTCAAAATCTGTCTCCCACAACGCCACTCCCCAGGCGAGTAAAAATCGCACATGCGCTCCAGCGAACCACGGCACGCCGCTTAGTCCCACACAGATCTGGTTCTTGCAGAAGTGCCGAGGTTCGTCTGACTTCACCGTCCCCTACGAATTCCCACCAGCGGCGCGGAATCATCCGTTGCCATGAGTAAATCCCCCGATGTGTCCCGAATTGTGAAAACATCACTAGTGTGTTTGTCTGGAGCCAGCTGTTCTAGCCGTGAACCTCTCTCCGCCCTCGTCCTATGTGTATTGCCACACGGTAATATTAAGGGTATCAAAAGCCAAAGGATCGAAGCCAAGGCACTGGGATACATTGCCTCGAGGTGCCGTGATGTTCTTCTGCATCATTTGGTAAGCTTGTGTCAATGCTGATACACCGTAACAACAACGATGTGGACAAATCAAAATCAAACCATGGACAGAGACGACTTACCAGGTTGGCGAAAACTTGCCAGGCGCCTCCATATGTAGGACATGCCATCAACCCCGATGCCCCGAATGCTCTCAGATCCAGTCGTCCAATTGTGGCTCCTGGGGCCTTTGAGTATGTGAAGGGACACTGGACTGCTCCATCCGGCATGAGACTCGAATGGGCTTGGGTGTAGCCGACTTCGCCACCAGGCGTTACATACAAATACTGACCACCAGGGACAAGAGCACCCTTTGCTTTGTTAGTGAAACTTTACCATGTCGGCAAAATCACCTCACCATTGCGCAAAGAGAGAGTACAGTCTGATTCCCTGTGGGACATCCTCCGGCTTCTTCAACCTCAGTTGGACAATATGACACGGTATCTCCTCCAAGGTAGAAACGGTAGCCGGCAGCATTCATGGGCAGTAGGTGGATTGGCGAGGCAATTCGCGAAGCCATGACTGTAAGCCACGATGTTGGGGTGGTCAACGGGCCAGTGGTGGTAGTGCTTGGGCTCGAGGTGGCTGAAACGGACGCGGTGACGGTTGCGGTTACAGTGCTGGCCACGGTGATGACGGTGTCAGTCGCGCCGGAATTCGTGTCTGCTTCAATGCAGGGTGTCGCAGTTGCTCGCGGATGAGGTGAGGCAAAGGCCACCTTGGAAAAGAGAGAGATGGCCGCGAGACACAGAGCGTGCTTCATTGTCAAGGATCTGAGTGTCTGAGACAGAAACCAGGTGAATGAGACGCACCTGGCAGCACTTGAGCAAGAGGAGAGGATGGTGATTGTGAGAATAGAGACGAGCACTAATATTACTATTTGTGACAAAATAGCGAACGCATTATTCTCGACGCTTGTGACGACTGCACCTCCACATTCCACTCCACCATGTCGACGACGGCACCTCGCAGGTTTGCCTCATTTCAGATCTGGTGCAACTTTCCGTTCCTTGAAACGACGTCCGATGTTGATATCCGTCCAATCTTTCGACTTGAACCGATCATTCGGGTCCTTCACGCGTGTAACCGTTACATTCCTGATCTGGTCCAGTCCACGACCAACTACTTCGACCTGCTCTGTCCATTGCCAGCCGAGTCGCACAGACACACCCGCTCGCAAAGAGTCCTCGCCTCTTTACCTCCCTTGATCGATCGAGCGTAACATTCAGCACCTTCACCTTCCCCGATCGTTGCTTATTCCCGCGGTAACTTCCAATTGCCTCATGATTCCTTCTTCGTCAGGGACACACATCTTGGTAGATTTGGAGGTGGTGTCAGCATGCACAACTTAATTCAGCCGCATCTCGGACGGATGCATCCTTCTCAAATGCTGCAAGAATGTGTCAACTGCGGTCTCGGATGATCACATTGACCACTGGAAAGGAAGCAAGTAGAAATACAAGATGACCATGAAACTCTCGGGGCCTAGGGCGGCTTCTCTTAAGACAGGTGTTGTGATTCCCCAAGAAGCAGATGCGAGTCGACACCTCTGCCCCAAGTGGTGCTCAAAGAGCTGGACTTAGAATCAAGGGCCAGTGACCAGGTAAATTACCTGGCCATTCACCAGGGTACCCAGCCAGGACCTCACAATAAGCATCCAGACTCCATATCAACTGCAGCTCGTCCTAGGAATTCCATACATCGTCTGTTATTTTGCCAATGGATCCATGCCAATCCTTGCAAAAGCGAGTCGGCCAGATCATCTAGCTTTGTCATATTAGTTGTACCAGCTCGCCCATCCTTCGAATGCTTGTTGACACGCGATACAAAGTCGACTGCCTCCTGCTGAACGCCCTTTCCAACACAGAAAATTGAGTCTTCACCATTGAGCATATTTCCAACAAGATCAATCTTTGCCCTTTTTACGTCGCGACCGACCAGCTTTTTCTCCTTCGAACCCAGCAGACCCTGGTGCCCCTCAAGCCAGTATCGGTTGACCCGGGGAGGCTGCATTGGCTCTACGCTCAGCTGCAGCCGATGCTCCTCAGCTAGAGTTCGTAGAACGGAATAAAGCATGCCTTCAAAGACACCAACCCTGAGGGTCCATTCTTGAACCGCCGATTGTCCGCCTGACCGAAATCTTTGTCTCTCGATCAGGATGTGATTGGGTTTGTAAGTCCGTAGCATATATTTGATAAGATTGTACGCATGCCTGGCGTAGTCAATAGGCTCGAATGACTCTTTGGCCACTTCAGCTACTTCGGTCACTGTGGACATCGAGGTCTCCGGCGCTGAGTCTGGGTGGCCACTCGTGCTGTTCAGTGATTCCGCCACTGCTATACGACGCCATGCTTGTAGTGTTGGCTTGCGGTATTGTATATACCTTAGCGGTTGGGTGACCTCTTCCACTGGGGCCGTGAGATGCGCAAAGGCCAGATTTCTGATGCCCATATCTATGCTCAACAGACTCAAGTTGGACACACTGCCCCTACTGTTTCCATCTCTTACAGAGTCGGACGCTGCACGACTGATGGCTTCTATACGTGCAAGCTTCGTTCCGGAGCAGGGCGTGCCCAGTGCAGTTGCAAGTCGATGTAACTTGGTCAATGTTAATTCCTTCAGCCATGGTTTTGGGGCGGTCATTGCATGGTGGACAGAGATGCAGACGTTCCTGAGAAGCTATCTCACACGTTGAATCAAGGAGCTAGTTATGTCATTCAGATCGGTGCCTACCCAGTGGTGTAGGCTGCGATGTTTGAAGCTCTTGTCCAATCAATCGTGTTGAACGCGTCGCGTCTCTGGCTGCGCGTCATTTTGTCATTCGAACATGTTATTGATCCTTCAGATTTGAACCCCCCACGACATTCCATCAATGCCTCATGTTACGTCTGTCCTGAAACCCTTGCCCATTCTTAAACAACAAGGACCCCACGGTATCTTACGCTACCCTCGTCTAGCTTCTTCATGGCATCCGTGACGCCGCTTTGTGTCAACGGGAACTTTTCGATGACCGGTTTGATTGAATGTTCCGCCGCGAATCTCAACATTGCCTTCACAGACTGTGGATGAGCTCCCCCAGATCCGATTATCGAATAGCCGTACATGACAAACGGCAGAGCAGGGACTGGAATATTGTCCATGCTGATGGTGAGTGGGAATATCTTCGCATACGGTGCCAATACTGGTAGATACCTGTTCAGTGTGAGTGTTCGTCCCAACCCTCGAGACTGGCAGTGTTGACACTTACAATGAGAGATCCGGTAGTACCGAAGTCGTGATCAACAAGCAGTCGACAGGCTCGATCCCTTCGAACTTTGTGACTCCCTTGGTGGCGTAGAATTCCCTCGCGCCAAATTGGAATGCTTCTTCCTTCTTGCTTTCGGTACCGGAGAAGACGACGGCCTCCATTCCCATCTTCGAGACAAACTGAATAGCCAAGTGTCCGAGTCCACCGATCCCGATAATCCCGATGCGATCACCTGCTTTGAATCCATTCTCGTATAAGGGACCCCAAACGGCTGTCCAAAACACTCCTTAGCAGCGAGTCCGCCAATGGTGGACATTTAGAGTTGGGCAAGCTGGTAAACTCACTGGCACCACCACACATCAACGGTCCCGCAGATTCGGACGAGATTTCGTCGGGAATCTTGAAGAGCGTGCTCACGTCCCAAGCAACACCTGTACCAAAGCACCCTTGGTCCAAGTTTGCTGTCCCAAACTGTTCGCTGTTCTGACACTTGAACTGCCTGCCTGGAGTTGAAGTTAGCCTCATATATCGCCCTGGTCGAAGACGACCGGTCCTGCAGACTCAATTGAGCCGCTCTCAGGTGAAGAGTCGCTCATGGATCGGTGAGCCACTCACCGGTCAAACAAAATTTACAGTAGCCGCACGTTCTTTGGAGCCATCCCATTCCAACCCGGTCGCCGACCCTTAAGTCTGAGAGCTTTTCAACCATGCTTCCAATCTCTGCGATAACACCAACTCCTTCGTGACCCAATCCTTGGTCGGCTTGCCGGTAATGAGAATCAGTTCCACAAACACCGCAATGCGACAGTGCGACTAGAGCTTGTGTCGGGCCTACGTCGCGGTGGCCCTTGGCCTCCACGATCTCACCGGATTCGGAACCCTTGAAGACTGTAAAGTCGATGCCCATGGTGAGTTGCTTGGAAGAACGCAGATTTGGATTGACGATATGCCTGGACAAACAAGATTGTTGCACTGTGTGGGATGGGTGAGATACGAGACTGCATACCCCTTTTTATACCACCACTGATCACCATATACCTGAGATGACGACTGCGCCGTTTCAATCTGGACAGAAACAGTAGTAATCATCTTCTTGCTAATCAAGTTGCATTTGGTCTCTGGGTCAAGGGACGCCCTCACATCCTATGGAAGGCTAACAAGGACGAGACCATAACCCAGCCTCCATCGCATCGACCGACGCGTCACGATAGAGTGCCTGGAGTCCAAGCGGAATACCAACCACGGCCCATTTGCACCCACATCTCCTGAGGCGGCCGAACAATTGCGTACGAACTATGTCAATTAGAGTTGTGACTTGGACAGCGACCTTTGCAAATTCCCTGATTCGGAAAGAGGCAATTGATACACGTCCATTGGTTGTTCAACACCACTCAAGCTAAAGAGAAGGTGGTGGGTGGCTTATAGCTATGGTGGCGAAACAAGACATCTGACTAAGGCTTTCGTTTTCTCTATACAGACCAAGCACTGATTATGGCAAGTCTAAACAGCGTATAGCGATCAGTGCAATCCCCAGTCAATATCACGGCTTTAAGCAGATCAACCTCAACGCTGCAGCATTTCTGTATACAGCAGTCTGCAAATGTGGACACACTGAAACAGATATTCTGGTCTGTTGGGAGCTTTGAAAAGGGCTTCCTGAACTTCTTCTGGGTGTGGGATAGGACATGACTGACTACTGAATTCCCATGGCGCCCGTACCGCCAGCACCAAGAGGCTCTATTCGGCGATCAAAGAGCGGTATGCTGGCCACTATCTCGAATGGTGTCGGACCACCATGAACGAACCAGCGGGTACCGCCCAACAGGCTTAGGTACTGTGACAGCAGAAGGTCGACGTCGCCCTTGCAGCAATTGCAGTTGGTTTCTTCAGCACGACACTTGCCTCAGCAACATCTAAGATCCTGTTTGGAGCGACAATCTGGTCGCACACAGTGTGACTTTGGGTTCCGGCTGCTCCATCAACACTTAGCAATCATGTAAGACAGCGAGACATGCGACTGAGGAGGTGACGGTCTTGATGGTGGTCAAGATACCCCATTCAAAATCCAAGAACCCATTCCCTTTCCCGAATCTAATACCTTGATGGTTGATGGCTCCCGGACCCATTACCATCAAATTCACATCAAGACCATTGTGCTGGGTCTCTGTGAGACTCAAGGCGCGTCCCAGACCCGGTCGTTCCATGGCATCCAGGGGACAAGCGAGCTTTCTAGCTTCAGCCATCACAATTACTGCGGGACCCAACAGTCAAAACCCGCGTCTGATGGCGTAGGTGGTCACTGATACCTTCTTGCCATCTTCCAGGGCTCGCCAGCTAAGTTGTTCCAAACCATTGTCCGCGCTGATGGAGACAACTGGGACATCGGCATAGCAGCGCAATGGAAGCACTCTTTCTGTTGCAGCGTCGGAGCCTTGGAAATTTGCTATGAAGCTGGAGAAGTCATAATGAAAGCGCGATTCGGGGACGACGACCTCTCGCAGTCGTGGCGAAACAAGTTGTCGGATTTGGCCCTTCTCTTCGACTACCATCCTTGCCACTCGACAGTGTCATCGGGGACCTCTCCGGTGAAAGCCTTCGTGTGAGCCAGGTTTGGGACAAGGGCTTGTCAAGAACTTCTGACTCGAGGAGATCAATGACCGCCGAAGGAAAAGCTTCCTCGGCAACGCTCTTGTTCAGATGTCCACTTATGCGGGGTTCACCATGGCGCAACTTTCTCTGAACGGCGACTTTGCGTACTGCGATGCGAGAATGTTTACCTTCTATTATCTGTCCATGACGCCAACCCGCTTGTCAATACCGGCCACGAGCTGCACCGTCGAACCGCTCCCTCGAACGCAACAGTGACTGGCTGGAAGTACAGCCCATGCGCCAGACGAGCATGAAGCCGCGCTCGGCCCGCTACGCTCTTTAGCCTCGTCCACTAGCTCCTCCAAACGGATGAGGCTCCGCATGTCACCAGGTTTGTATAATGTGATCAATTGACCATCTACGCATTTTCCATTTAGTCGCTCCACTGCCAGACATTCTGACACTATTCACACTGACAATCAGAAGCAGGGCCCTTTCTCCAACCCGGCGCAATGTTTCGTGCCCAATCATATCCACTTGCTGGCTACCCAGATGTTGCGTGCAAGTAGGCTTTTGAAGGTGAATGCCCATGTCGGTACTATTCTATCGCACTGCGGAGATGCGCATTTGTCCTTGTGGACCTTATTGACTCTGCTGGATTGACGCCGCTTTTCCTTTGGGGTATAATAATACTCCCAAAGTCAGCCATTTCAGCTGCGCTGAATTCGACTACGAAAGACGACACCCGTCAATCTTGTACTGGAAAAGTCATCTGCTCTCTCCCACAATCACCTTGTTCTTATATGGTCTTTGACCTGCGAAGATGGGTGTCCTTATCAATCTCCGAGGTCGAAGCCTCTACTGGCTGATGAAGTTCATCTGCGGGACTTCCTTCATGATGTATGGGTACGATGCTGGCGTGCTCGGTGGTGTCGTTTTACACAAGCCATTCCTGGATGCGATTGGCAATCCGACTGGAGAATGGGTCATACCGTGGATCTCCAGCTCCTACTCGTTGTCGGCATGTATCACCTGTTTGATCGTGGCCACCTTTGCCTTCAAGATTGGCCGGCGAGGGACTATTCTTTTGGGCAACGCTGCCGCCGTTGTCGGCTCAATCATCCAAGCGACGGCCAACTCTGTGGCACAACTCACTGTTGGTCGGATCATCACTGGCTTTGCTATCGGCTGCATCTCCAGCGCTGTGCCCACCTACTTGGCGGAGACGGGTGTCGAAATCGGGGACCGTGGCCCAGCCAATGCATTCAATGCCATAAGTGAGTCAAGACCATTCGATGACCGACGTGTTCTTTCTGCCGGGATTGTTGACAAAGATCGTCCATCTTATGCTAATGGCGTCCTGCAGTGCTTATTAGCGGTGTCCCGCTGGCGTACTGGATAGATTACGGGTGCATCAAGTCCGACGGCCAATGGAGCTGGAGAGTGCCCATTGCTTTTCAATGTATTTTTGCTCTGATTGCAGGCATCTGCATGCTCTTCCTCCCGGACACACCGCGATACTACTATGCGAAAAACCGACACGCCGAAGGCGACGATGCCCTAGAACGCCTAAATGACGCACCCATCGACTCGGAACAAGTCCAGAGGATCAAGCGCGAGATTCTCGTTGCCATTGAAGCAGAAGAGGAGGCAAAGTCTAGTTTACACTGGAAGGCATTCACCACTAGTGGCATCATCGACCGCACGCCCATGAAGATCATCCGACGGCTCTGCATCTGCTTTTGGCTTCCCATGATCAGAGAGTGGATGGGCTCTTCATTGCTCGCCTATTGGAGTACTGTCCCACCCCCTTTCACATCGTGTGCCTAGGCTAATCGTGGTGCAAAAACAGGCTCCGTCATCCTCAGCCGAGTCGGTGCAGCCCCTTCCCTGGTCAGCCTGCTCGCAGGGATCCTCAATATCTGCTTTGCCCTAGGCTGCGTCCCGCTCTACTTCACCATCGAGAAAGTCGGACGTCGATCGGTCCTTCTCTACGGAGCCTGTGTCATGTCCGTGTTGATGCTCATCTTCACCGTCCTCCAAGCCGTGCCGGCGACGCATTCCGTTCAGTGGGCAGGGATCGGCATCATCTTCGCCTTCCTGTTTGTGTTTGGGTATGCCTGGCAGGGCTGCGTGTGGCTGTACTGCTCCGAGATCGCGCCGCTCGAGTACCGACACATTGGCGGCGCGTTCACGGGCTTTGGCGAGTGGCTGATGACCTTCATCACCGTCTTCGCGGGTCCCATCGGCCTGACCAACGTGGGCTGGAAGTTCTGGCTGTGGGTCCTCAGCGGCAACCTCGTGGCCGTCGTCTTCGTCTTCTTCCTGTGCCCCGAGACCGGCGGCAAGACCCTCGAGCAGGTCGACTTCCTCTTCTCCAAGAGCGCCTTTGTCGCCGGCATGAAGAAGGCCGAGCGTGGTCTGGACGACGATGACGAGGAAGCCGCCAACGACCGCTGGATCGAGCTTCAGGGGAAAACTGCCGAGCAGCGTATCGAGGTCAAGGGCTAGATGGGAATGAATCTCGACTGAAGCCAAGAGGAGACAGTCAGCTTCTGTTTCGCTCTTCCTCGAACATCAAGAGACATCAAGAGACAAAGATAGTTCTTGAGGATTTCAGATCCATTGAACAACGAATACATCTTACTGTCCCGACACGGAAGCGAGTAAGACCTTGTCACATGTCGTGGTACCGGTGCGTAGCTTCCCACTCGCTTCTCGAAAGATTTTCTATACTAGGAGCTTAGGACGACTCTATCAATTCAGTCCAGTCAGACAGTAGAATGTAGTTCAGAGCATAAAATTTCCATGTTAGCAGAAAATAGCCACGTCCCACGGGGATCTATCACGCATGTACCTCCCGACAAAGCCCCAGCATATTCTTGAAGTTATGTATGTCGAAGACTTCCAGCCAGACGTTCCCCCGTCGTTCCGAGTCGACTGACCTGCCTGCCCCGTTGTCGATCCTCCCCCGTTCCCCCAAATAATCATTCTTCTCGTCTTTGTCTCCTCTTCATTTTCTTCTTGTTGTCAACGGCCTGTCTCCAGCCTTCCCCCCATATCGTTGTGGCCCACAAACAGACAGCGCTGATCATGTTGACTCGCTTGTGTATCAGACGCGACAGCCAAGTCGCCTCAAAACTCGACGGACGTAGATCATCCATGCGGGAGTCGTTTGCGTCAATGGACAAATATCTTAGCAACCCAAAACTGTTGGCTTCCGAGAATGTCTAGTTTCGAACGACTCCAGGTCCTTCTGTCTTTTGTTATGTAGTCTCTTTGTCTCTTTGGCTGCCTCGACCTCCACGTACATATCTCAAGTTGTGCTGAGCGAACATCGACTGCGTGTCTCGTCGTTGAGTGGCCTGTCCAGAGTGCTTCATGTAGCTTGGTCTTGGGCAATATTTTCTCGCAAGGTCGTCATCCTGTAAAACTTCCCGGTTCTCTTTTCTGGATAGAGGTGTTGATAGTGTATCAAAATCTGATAACCCCGGTATGTATACCCCAATAATGTTTCCTCCTTTTCCATACAACTGAGCTTTGGCGTCCCAGTAATCTTGCCGAGTGAGGTAACAGAGTCGAGGGGGTGCAGCAACATGGCAATCGTTGAGAAGTCTCAAGTGAAGTGCCTGTGATGTGTCTCAACAGGACTAACATAGTTACGGAATCTGATGTGAAGTTAGTTATAAGCCTGTAGAAGATGGTATTGGTTGCGTCGTTACCTAGGAAAGAGTACATTCAGGATTCTTCGTGCAGGGAGAAGTTCGAAATCGATCAAGTAGAAAAAGCTGATGATTGTGCTTCCAAGATAGAGAGGCCTGAGACAAGATGGCGTGTTGAAAAAGGTTCAGCTTCATTGCTGATCGTGTTGCCTCAGCATTGGAGGTGATAGCCCCTTCAATCCGGGCCTTTCATCGTGGCTCGTAGCCTCTCTAACGGATCGGGCGATGGGCACAACCGTTATTCATGTGTTTGTTCACGCAAATGGCAGTGCAGAATTGGTAGGATCGCTCGAGGGCGAGGGCGTAGACCAGCTGGTGTCGTCACAGCGTCGCCTTTTTGACATAACTCTGGCCCCCTATCGTCTCCTCTTCGTAGGCAAACATTCCCAAGGACTCTGAAAAGAACGATTGGTGAGTGAGCAGGTTGGAAAGGTGCTTTTTGGTCAGTTGAGACTGCAACAATGTAACGGTCAAATTTGGTCAGTCTCGTGAACTTCGCCACCAATATTCGCCGAATCTTTGTCCTCTAAATATCTAAAGTCAACTTGATAGTCCTTTCAGAGCATTGGATATTGACACGATAGAACGGAAAGTGTTCGGACTGCTGGTCAAAGACCACAGATACCTTCGGTTGAGGCTTCAGGGGAATGCTTTCTCTGGCACTTATCGTGATCTTGAAGCACCACGGTTCATTTCAGCTCTCAAGACGAGCCCATGTACCCAAGATTCGGGAGATGTTGGATGAAAAGGAACACATCGACGCAAAAAGAACGTGGTGTGTGCGTAGCCCATGGGGTAAACTGCGCTCTGGGACAGGAGAGAATCAACCCAGGGGGAGGGACCACAAGGAGGGAAATCTCGGTTGGATTTGGGCAAACGAGGAGACTAGTGTAGGACTCGATATCTGCTGTTCTTTTCAAAGAGGACAAGACTTGTACAGTTGGCAAGTCACTGCTGGCATTGGGCTTCGCTGAGATGGTATGGCGAGAAGAAGAGTCAGGGGGAGGCAGTCGGGTTGGAAGAGCATTCGGATAGAGGACAAATGGGTACCCAGGGGATTGCGGTCTCTTCAACGCAGTCTTCCAAACGAAGGACGGTAAGGAGGATTAAGAACTCGAAGACACAGGCAGGAGGCCAGAAGGGTATCCAGCAGGGGAAGAAGACAGAGGTTGGGCACTGAGCAACCAGCCTGTGAGCGGCGTTGAATCTGACAAGGTCTTGTGAGAAAGTGATGGACCAGTCACACTATTCAGGTGTACCTCGTATACCAAAGCTCAATGGCTGGTGATCACAATGTGAACAAGTTGATGAATCCCACCGCACCCAGAGATTTATCATCTTGGGATCGAGCAACATCATCGTCGTCGTCGAAGCTGGGGAAGATAAGAACCTGGTATGTCTGCCAGGATATCTTTGTTTTCGCTGCTCCCGAGGCTGCAATCACAGAAACATGAATCCCCGCATTTGATGATTGATAAACCCGACTCCAAACATAACCAACTTGGATCTGTCAAGGTCATCATCCATCATCGTTGATGTATTCAGTCTGTTGTCGTAGACTCCTATTGTCCCAGATCCCGCAGCAGCGTCTCTTTTGCAGCCCCCCTGTGGCATTCAGACTCCACGGCACCAATATCACCCACCGCAGCACCATGTCATCCGCAGAGTTCCCTCCGCCCCAGCTCAGATCGGCTGCCGAAGACGTTGCGTCCCTCCTCAAGTCTCGAGGCGAGACCATATGCGTGGCAGAGACCGCCGCAGGAGGACTCATTTCCGCCTCACTGCTTGCAACCCCGGGGGCAAGCAGGATCTACAAGGGTGGATTGACACTGTATACGTTGCAATCCAGGATTGCCTTTGCCGGCTGGACGCAACAGAACATCGACAATTATGATGGACCTACCCCGGAATTGGTGGAAGACCTGGCTAAGAGCGTGAGAGCAACGCTGCAAGGAACTTATTGCGTCGGTGAGGTACGTACTCCCTACAATCCCCTACATCTGTCGATCTCGCCGGACAGGGCGAAGCCCTCAAGGCCTGGCCAATGGAGACTTTTCTCGCTTACTCGACTGCTCTCAACACGACAGTCAGGAACAGCAGGACCAACCGCCAGTGGCAAGACTCCCAACAGACAACCGTAAGTACAGATCCCGCCCTATCCGCCTCTCACCTAGCTGCGCCTCAATAGGGAGCATGTGAAGCTGATACGAGGCGGAAAACCACAGGGGCTACGTCGCATTGGCAGTGGTGGGCGAAAAGGGTAGTGTGAACAAGGATCTAGACACGGGGTTGGGAGGTGATAGACAGGCCAATATGGTGGCGTTTGCGGTTGCCGCGCTTCAACTGGTCAAGGACTTCATCTTGTCGTCTGGCGGTGACAAGGGTGGGAAAATGTGAACAGTGTGACAGTTGTTGATGGACCGAATTCGAACAAGTGGCTCGCAAGCAGTTGTGGCTGGACTATCCACCAGCTGGCTCCAACGGCGTCATCTCCCCCAGGCACCAGAGTCGAGATGAGTGACTGAGGCTCAGTTTCGGGTGATCCTCACTTTGTTTGACCCGGTCGTCTACTGACTTTGTTTGCTTTTTCCCTGCCTGATGTAGTTCTGAGTTGCTCCATCAACACCTTTCAAACTTCGGCATTCCTCTTTTGAGACTTTCCCTAAGTGGAGCTACAAAGTCCATGCATGCACTGACCAGGTCACAAGGGAAGCAAACGAAGTGATGCATCACATTCCAACGTCCACCGTTGGACGGGGTTCGGGGTGGCTTTGTGTGACCGGGTTCTCCACCCAGCTTGTTCACCATGGCATGCAGTATTCGCGGTCGACCTGTCAATCTCGTGTCGATGACGGTTGAACCGCCCCCAACCGAGAAAAGAGCCATTGAGACTGAATACGGAGGACATACCTGAATCTGCTTCTCCCGAGGGGTAGGGGACCATTGCAACGTGCCTAGTTTCATTGGGAAACAGACTTTGTGTGCCCAGATCCACCACTATCCATCCTTGTGATCGGATCAAAAACTTCGGATCGAAACTCAACCACAACCTTTCGAGAAACCCTGTCATCTAGTGAAAAGTGCGCACGGACTGAAGATGTCGTCAAGGGCAGTGATATTCGCCTCACCTCTTTCTCTTACCTAGCCAGGGTCCGCTCGCCAATTGTTGTTACAGAAGCAAGGGACTTTAGGCGTGGACGATCCATGAGCCTGAGCGACATTGGGAAAAATTTCCGTGACGCAGATACCCAAGCGATTGGCTGCGCGACATCAACTCAACCTTTTTCACTGTGCTTCCAAACCTGTCTCGTGATATGGTTCACGTGGTCCTTTTGACAGCTGTCAATTCTTGATCCTAACCAAGCATGAGCAACGAGAGGTCCCCTTGCGTCAATCGTAATTCGTAGAATGAGAAGGGTGGCGGGCCTCGAGTAGACTTTGAAGCCAAGACGAGAATGTGCTCGCTTGATGCGAATCAAAGGCATTGTTTAGAACAGGGGAGTGGGAAAAGTCTGGCCAGGATTGTCGCCTGGGTTAGCTGTTGTTTGTTCCGTAAAATGCGAAAAGATCGACCATCATGTACAAAGAGTAGTAGAAGCCCCCAAAGTTATTGTCCACTGCCCATACGCGCGCGTGTTCCAACAGCAATGATGGATAGAGCCAAGGACACTGGGTAAATTGGCCGTGTTGGGAAATTCGGAGGACGCGGTGAGGAAAGGTTGTGCTTCGCTTGAGCTTTGCACATCTAGCCAATCGTGGTGCTAAGAAGAAAATGAGGCGAGCGAGAAG